TGGACCCATCCAATTTGATTTGATTTAAAACTTTACACGATTTTATAGTAATAATTTCTTAAAGTTTACTATGGGCTATGGATCCATCCAATTTTTTTTCAATCTAATATGTGTTTTAGTTCTTGATACTCTCACAACACTTAATTTTATGATTCTCGGTTCAACCACAAACTGACTTGGTTATGCAAAATTCAATGGAAATACCCTACTAAATGGTTAAATATACATCAAATTTCACATACAAAACTATCGTATAATACAAACCGAATCATTTGGTACATTTTGTTACAACAAAAAAAAACTCGCGCTTCTCAAGCGCGGGTCAAAATTTAGTACCTTTTTAATTTATAACTAGATCTTGACTCGCACAACCGTGCGGGTTTTCTTTTTATTTATAGCTTATAAAAATAACTATCAATAAATAATAATATATTTGATTATAATTTTTTTGCAAAATATTAAAATGATAGATGTTAAAGTATCATTTTTAAACACAACATGAAAATATAAATTATCATTAACAAATATTTATCTGTAATATATCTAAATAAATGTTAAAATGTATTGTATACAAATTGTAGTAATTAAGACTCTATATTAAAGAAGTTATATATTTGATTATTCCAGATTAAAATTTATGTATCAAACTCAAAAAATATATTAATAAAAAATAACAATCAACAAGCATATAAATTAAAGTATATAAAATAAATTACTATATATTAATAATGACGAATAAGAAACTTAAACAAAAAAAATTATAGAGTTATATAATATATGACATTAAATGTAAATCATCTATTTGAAATTTTTATAATACTATCAAAGTTTTATATTTATAAAAAAAAGATCTGTGTGGGTTACACTCTAGTATATTGTTTTTTTTTATTTATTTAGGTTTTAGGAATATATAGTGCTATCAAGATAAATTTTTTTTTTTTTTTTGTGAAAATAAATTTTAATTTCTTAAATAAAAATACTTGTATTTCAAATAAAAGATAAATATATGAGGTGAAATTATAATTAAATTATGTAATATTTGATAAATATTTTAAAGAATATCACTTTAGATTTTCAGTGTAATTTATTCATCTTTTAAGTTTAATATTAGTTAGAAAATGCATTGATGGTATTAAATATCTCAAACGATATTGGTTAAAAAGTTGTAATTAATAAGATTATAAATACATTTAAATCATTTTCTAATCTATGTGAAAAATGTAAAAGTGACACTTTAAAAAAAACAAACGGAGGATAAAACAAAATAAAACAAAAACAAAAAACAAAACCACACAACATAGCCAGACCAACAAATTCTATAATGCGTGAAACACGGGTACATCTCTATAATATTATTTGAGAAGTCAGTTTCCTAGGTCTCGCGCTCACGTTAACTCTCGCAATGGTTGATTACATAGATACCCTTAATGAATTGTTAGATTTTAAGATTATTTTTTATTTAGTTTTTTATTTAGTTTTTTATTTAGTTTTTTTTTACCTTTTTCCAAATAACAAATATAATAAAAGGAAATATTTCCAAAATTTTGAAACAATTTAAAAAAGAAAATATATCTACATATAATATGACTTTATTAAAAAGGAAAGTTCACAAAATAGTAATATCCCCATTAATATATATTTTTAAATAACATAAAATTATATTTTCAAAATAATAAAGACATATATGTTCATGAACATCCAAAAATTTATCAGTTACACTTTAATTTATAATATTTTTTAGAAATCAACATATAATTTGATTATAAAAATACATGTATATTTAAGCGATAAATAAAAAAAAATTGATTTGACTTAACTAAAATAAAGAGTCAATTAATATTATGAAAATACATGTCTATTTAAGCGATAAATAAAACTAATTTGATTTGAATTAACTAAAACAAAAATAATTATACTTCAATATTAATTAAAAATATATTTAATTCAATATACTCACAAAATGAATGACTCGACAGATCTAATTTATATCCAAAATTAAGCATCTTATAATTTTATAATAATAATCTATTTAATTTTATACATATAAATTAGAGGTTGACTAAAAGCATATTAAAAAGAAAAAGAAAAAGAAAATATTAACCAATTACAATTTAATTCTTTTTAGAATTTATATATATGCATGAGACTTCAACATATTATCCTTTTATTTATTTATGTAATTTTGAATCAAACACTTCAGCTTATTATTTATTTCATTTATTTTTATTTTTTTTTGATAATCCAGGGGTTCCCCACTTATGTGGATCATTCCCCTGGGCCCGGTTAGGCAGCGGTCCACTTTCACCCGGGAGGGTTTTAAACCTGGGCTGGGGACAAGGCCCAACCCCCAGTACCGCATTTATGACATAGATGGGTGTTCGCCTCCCTGTGGCGTCGAACCCGGGGACATGACTATTGGCCTCCAAGGTTTTTACCACCAAGCTACACCATCCCGTCTTATTTATTTCATTTTAAGAACAATATATATTAAGTTATACATAATTTAACTATAATATATTTACATATTTATAAATATATTTACATATTTAAAGACATTAACCAACCGAAATAAAAACAAGAAAATTAATCAAAAATTTATGATATTTAGAATAAAAACTGTTATAGCTGAATTTGAAAATAGATATTATCCAATATACCAAATTGATAAATAAACCGACTATTGATCCAAAAAATAATTAAACCGACAATAATATCTCCAAAGTCATATGTATAATTAGAATAATGTAATGTTTATTAATAAATTCTATATATAAATTGATTCAAAACTAAAACTAAAATTAAATATCAATCAATTATTAGAAAAATTTACTTTTATGAATATCCATACCCGTGTATGAGCACGGGAAAATCACCTAGTTACTATTTATTTATAAAGTGGCATTAAGTGTAAAAAGTATGTTGTCAAAATTTTGTGATAAAAAAAACCAATATGATATAATTTCGTGCTTTTCTACTCAAATACATGTTGTAACATTTATTTGTGACAATTAAAACCCTAAGTTTTCTGTTTGGTTTTGTAAGAAAATTACATTAAAGTTTGTTATGCCATTATTTTGATAGCGAACAACTATTTTAACAAATAGGAACGTGACTATGATCTCAATGACTCCCTCCCAGGAGATGCTTTCGACATTTTTAACCGTTTCAAGATAGCTCATGTTCTGTCTTGTACCGACGTGGTGCTTGCACCGACATTGTCACACTGGTAGGAGGGCCTTACTTCAACTTAAAGCTTGTTTTAAAGGCGGATTCGGATCTAAGGCCCATATAGTCCGATGAAACGTCATGATTTGAGATTGTAACATTAAGCGGATCTCACACAATCGGATTTTCTCACAGCAAACAGTTTAGTGACCTGCTATAAGGGCCAAAAGCAGATCAAGAAATCAACCCAAGATTAGCAACCGCTCTAAAAGAACTATGGAAAATCCACTTTGTGGACAACACAATTTCAGCGTTGGATGACGTGATGAACAGAAAAGTTCGACAACATGTAATTCAAGAACCTAAAGTGAGGATTAAGGCTATTAGCTTCCTGTCACATATGAAAGACAATATCACAAAACCATTCATTGAGCTTTACGCAATTAAGAGAAAGCACTCTTTGAGAATAGTCACACGCATTGGAGAAAATTATTTAAGTTCTTTCGTGGAGTACATATTTGATTTATAGATGAATTAAGATATAAGTAGTGTTACAAAAAAAAAAAAAAAAGTAATGTTTTCATATTCCACTGTGAACCGGACTTACAGTCAGTGGCGGAGCCACGGGTCAAGTGACTCACATGAATCTACAAAATTTTAGTTTTAGGCGTATGCATAAGGTTATCGTTGTGGTGAACCGGTTAATGTCTCCCTTTTTGACCCATATGTCTTGGGTCATGTGAAGTGAAATTCTAGCTCTTCCATGTGTCTTAAGTATCATTAGCATACCTTTTAACTTATCTAGACTAATTATGACCCATGTGAAGTTAAATTCTAGCTCCACCACTGCTTCAGTTGAACTTGAACCTGTAAGTTTAGTGACAGTATATAGCCTAGTTTGGATTTGATGAAAACCCTGTTATTAAAAACTCGATAAAAGCAAACACCACCATTAACGCGTGACTGATCGACCCAGTAAAAATTTTTTAAAAAAATTGATAATATTTTTTAAAATAATTAAACTTCTCATATACTTAGTAGTTAATACAAATCCAGGATGGTCAACATGATTTGTTGCAAAAGGGATGGCTTAGTAGTTAGTACATTAGAGGAGCTTTTTCATTTATTGAGACAAAGTTCGATCAATGGCAATGGTTGATCGAACTACGATGGGGGAGGGCACCAAGGAACACTATATATTGTTATGATTTTTTGATTCTTCAGTCACGTTTAAATAAAAAACTAGTATTTTAATATACTGGAGCCATGTATAACATGATATGTAGACAGTAATATATGAGATCCTTTAAATTAGGTAATCTATCAAATATAGTTAGATTAAATAGGGTAAGATCATAATAATAATTAGTTAATAAATAGGTGTAAAAAATTTTGTAAGTATATTTTTTGGGTGATTCTCTTTTAACAGTATAGATAATTAAGATATTATTCATCGATAAACATTGGGAAATTAGGTTTTTGATGAAAATTAATGAGACAGGTTTACAGAATGAAAAACATTAAAGGAATATTTTTTTTGAAATTAGAGATTTTTTCTTATATTTCACCTTATTGTTTTTAAAAATCATTTAAGAGATATCATCAAAACTTATAGCATAGTGTTTATAAAAAAAAAATTAAATGAAGAAGTATATAGGCTCACAAACTAAAATTGACCCAGGAAAAAAGGTAACGAAGCAAATGGAGTGGCAATCGAGTCATAAGCCATCTAAAAAAAGCTTGTGGTTACTGTCATCTACACAGATTTTTTGTTTGCTGATAAATGGAACCATAAGTTACAATATACCACTCTTCAAAAACAATACACACTGAAAATGTTGATGTACATTGTTGTGTTTGTTCTTCTCTTCAGTGGTTGCATGGCCAACAAAGTGGCCGATTCAGTCATTGAAAAATCTTGCAAAAACATCTCAGACTCTATAATAGTGGAAACCATTACAAATTTTGAAAAGGATTGCATTTCATATCTCAAAGAGAACCCGGAGAGCCAGAAAGCAAGAAATATGGATGATTTGATCATGGTAGGGCTGAATAATGCCATATCATACTTAACGAAGGTGAAAAGAATTGTGGAGACGATTATTAAAGAGAGGAAATATAAGAGTAGCCTTAGTAAGAAGTCGTTGGAAGATTGCCTTAAGCTTTACTCCAAGAGCGCTCACATGTTAACCTCTGGTTTGAATTACCTCAAAAAGGGGGATTTCGAGAAGGCTCGGTTTGAAATGAATGATGCAGATGAAGCACCAATATTTTGCGAGCTAAAATTCAACGGCTATAATAAACAGATATCTCCCGTGAAGAAGGAGAACAATCTTCTCTTAACATTAATCTATATTCCTCTACAATTCCTTTTCGAACATATACTATAATGTCTAGTGGAGATGATAGGCCATAATTTTAAAAGATGTGTTAAGTGGTTTTTTACTGGAACAAAAAGTTATGAAAATATAAAAAGTTCTCATTAATAATTTGATTTTCTGTGTTAAATTCTTATTTGTTTGGTAATCAAATGTTATCTGCGGGTTCTAAGAAAACAATTTGTATCAGAATATTATGATGTCGACTATAGACTATAAACTTGAATAATAATTCAGTTGTCAATTTATGAAAAATGATATCGACTTTGTTCTATTTTCTAGTATAAACATCGACTCCATTCGATAACAAAATTAAATTGTGTGATATTGAATGTCAAATGAACAAAAGTAATTTGGTAATTAGAAACTTGATAATAAAATCATGTACAAATTATAACTAAGGCCTTGTTCGTTTTATATTTAGATGCTGCATCTGGATGCTAATATTTATTTATTTTTTTGTAAAATATTCCTATATTTTGGGATTTTAAGCATAATCTTTTTGACACATGAACTGTTATTTTTTGAAAAAACTTCAAATTATTTACAAAAAAATTGAATCCACGACCAAAGAGTACAAATGAGGTCATTACCAACCGAGCTGTAGGTGTCTCTGGCAAAAAAATTGGCCCCTATAACTTTTTATCTGACTTTGGCCTCAAGCATGTGCTTAAGTAGCCTCTAGCCAGGCACGGCTCTCTCTAGATGAACAATCTATAATATCTAAATGCAAGATAATAAAGTAGGCCTGGGCATTCGGGGTCCCAATCGGGTTTCGATTTTGTCCAATCGGGTTTCGGTTTTGTCCAATCGGGTTTCGGTTTTTCGGGTTTATCAAAATCAGCCCCATTCGGATTATTTGAAAGTTCGGTTCGGGATCGGTCCGGGTTCTATCGGGTTCGGGTCGGGGTTAGTAAATCTTTAAAGAACCGGTATAACCCGTTATACTTTTGGATTCGGGTCCCAATCGGTACTTTGGTTTAAAACTACCTGATTTGTACCTATTTTGTAACCAAAACATAAGTAAAATCGGTTATTCGAATTTATAGTATCTGATGTGTAACTATTTTGTATCCAAAACATAAGTAAAATTTATTTAAAAATAAGAAAAGAACATCAAACGTGATCATTCAAAATCAAATGAAAGATTAACATAGTTGTTAATAGAAAGAAAACCAAATAAATGAAACCATAAAACGAAAATCAAGTTCTTAAAAAATGAGAAACAATCTATCTTCTATATATATAAAGAAGAGTTTCCCTCTTTTTCAATTTGCCATGTCATTAATTTAAGTTCTGTGTGCATGACACCTGTCCCAAACCATGATTTCAACGTTTTGTTGTCTCTGGGCTTTTTTATTTGCTTTAATGGACTATCTTCTTTAGTTGGGCCTAAAATTATACCTAGACAAAAATTACAGACAGAGACTATTACTTGCTCGATCACCGCGTGAAGACAGCTGTTGATGTGCTTTGTATATGTGAAGACCGCGTGAAGACATAGATATTCACGCCACCACCATGCTTTGCATCCAATGTTTACCTAAACAATTTTCAGTATATATGTTTGAAACGGAGAAGACAAATGATTGGGCATAAAAGGAAAACAATGATATATTCTTAAGCTTATCAAACCTTGATGGGTCGGTGATAAATCGCTTTCCAGTGATGTAGAGGTCAAAGAATAAAAAAGACGCGGTTAGAGAATACCTATCAAACGATTCAGCAGGAGCGATCTAGAGAGGCAACTGTTATACATACACGTAGCTGAATACAAGTGGTTATTAGATTAGACACAAAAAATTTTAAAGGTAAAGAGAACAAAGAATTTAGAGGTTTGGGAAATAAGTATAAATGGGGAGAACTGGAAGTTAAACGACAGGTCCAAGTGAAGCTCAAGTTTACGACTAGATTCCTTTTTCAATCTCTCTCACTCTACTTTCAAATTTGGACTTCTTTTATTTACGTTAATTTTTAAATATGTCCACTAAAACCCACAGTTTTTGATCTGATAATCACGTCTCGATTTCCAAGAATTATATAGTAAGTGATAAGAACATTTCCGGATTAGAGAACTTTTCTCTGAGATCAAAACAACGCCAAGAAGAAGAGCGGAGGAGGAGGGATTTTGTAGAAGAAAGGGAAGTGGAAATCGGTGTCAAGAGCTATGGTAGAGAAAGGTTTCTCTGTTTCATCGCAACAGTGTGAGGACAAGTTCAATGACTTAAACAAGGGGTACAAGGAAAGGAACATTGTGTTGTGTCATGGAGAATGACGGCTTGCTCGAGACAATGGATCATCTCAGTCCCAAGTTGAAAGACAAGGGTAAGAATCTGCTAACTCTAAACATCTCTTCTTCAAGGAGATGTGTGCGTATCACAATCGATGCGGCTATCTCGACCAACTGAGCCAGATAACGAGTCAGCATCATCTGGAGCATCATAACTGTTTTATGCGGTAGAGTCAGGAAAAATGGTGAGAACCGCGGAGAGTGAGGAAGGGGAAGAGTCGGAAATGGCGGAGTTTGGAGTCGGAGATGGAGGAGACGAGCAAGAAGAGGATGAGAGGGGAAGGAGTATCCGCAGAGGTGAAGCAAATGAGAGAGAAAGCATCGTGTGAGTAGGATGATCCGGTGAAGATCGTGTGTGAGAAGAGGGAATGGATGATGGAGCTGGAGTAGAGGAAGATTGGGTACGAGTGGAAGGTGGTGGAGATGGAGAAGCAGAGAGTGAGGTGGATAAAATAGCCTTAGCAAAAAAGGAGAAAGAAACTGGATAAGACTAAGCTAGAGAACCAGTGACGGACGCTTAAGAAAGATAGATGGTTCTGATTATGAGGCGGAGAGAGATTGAGTTGACGGAACTAAAGCCGTTAGGTAAACAGTTGAACGAAATTCTGAATCATGATGAGCTGATTAGTGTTAGAATACTCACATTGTCAATTTTATAAGTAAAGCCAAAATGTATTTGCATGATTGATTAGTAAAGATTAAGCATAGCTTGAATTATATTTTCTTGAGCTTGGTGCAAAAATATTCAACAAACAAAAATTTGGCAAAATACATAATATAATCTAATAATAATTAAATTTTAAAATAAATATATAAAATTTATAAGAGAATAATGAAAAATATATTTACTATAATATTTTCCGTATAAAAATAGTTACTATAATAAAGTTTTTTTTGGATCACTAAATTTAAACTTAGAAGAGTTAAATATTTATGAAAAGACACAACCAAAAATAATATATAATTAAAGCTATGATTTTTTAAAATCTGTATAAAAATAAATAAAAATAAATAAAAATAACAATTAAATTTAGTGAAATCATAGCATAACGAAAAATACATAATTTAACAAAATTTTAAAATATATACACAAAATTCATAAAGAATAAATATTTAAACAATTATCATATTACTTTCCACATCTCATCACAGCAATGTCAATGAATTTAACAGTTTTTTGGAATATTAAACTCAAGTCTAAAAACGAACAAAATATTGAAGAAACCATAAAAAGGGCATAATAAAAATACATATTTGAAAAAGTAATCTAAAATATAACTATTACTTACAAAATTCATGATATAAACAAAAAGTAAGTTTCTTATTTAAATAAATGTGCTTTTAAGAATAAAATGTTATATCATGAAATATAACCATAAATTCAATACATATATAAAATAAAAAGTATATATTTGCACAGTTTGAGCTAGGAACATAATACAAAAAAAACAAAGATTTACATTGCCAAAATAAATATAACCAAGCTTCATTAAAACAAACTCAACAATTGAATTATAAAAATTAGTTAATCGTAAACGAGACATAATCCGAATATCATAGCATCCAATTTTTTTATCAAAAATATTGAATCATATAAAAATATAATCAAATACTTCCAAATAAAAACATAAATTAATATTTAAAACCATCTACGTTCTTAAAATATATTAGCACAACAATTCTTCTTCAATTCGAACTATTTTTCAAAATAAATCACCAGTGACGTACACACTATATATTATGTTTGGAATCATACAAAAATGACTCATCACACCTAATTTCTTTTACAGATGACCTCTTACAGTCAAATCCTATCGCAAAACATTTTATAAAGCAATCATCATCATACACATCTATCTGAAATGTAAACCTAACACATAACAACCAAACCAACAATTTTTGTATGATTTAACTAATAACTAAAACAAATCTCTACTAAAAATAAATTGTTAGGAATATTCTTATGCTTGCCTATGGTGTATTAGATTGTAAGTGGAACTTATATTTTGTGGAAGCCGAGCCCAAGAGAAACCCCAGACGAAGTTGCAGCAAGAGATGTAGAGTTCATTAACTGGTGATGAGTTCCATGGATACTAAATACATTTGTGTTTTTTTTAGTTACTAATTATTCTCCCATTGACTCAGGCATGGTGTCTTGAGCTCTATAAAGAAAGAGCTGTCTATACAGTGAGAGACCTTAACGCACAAACCTGAAGAAATGCATTAACTGTTTGCTAATGAAACTATGTAACATTTTTCAGCTTCAAAAAAAATTATGGTAGAATAGAAGATCAATATTATAGTCTCTAAGACACGTGCATAAAAGTATTTTTTTAAATTGATTATTTTTTCCACGAGTCTATACACAACACACTGATCCTCTATTACAATATAAGAATTACAAGGTCAATCTTTTCACATATTCCCCACTATTTGATACAACAGACCGTGATGTATCACAATAAAAAAGTGAAAATATGACAGTGAAAAATCATACATAAATCAAACAAACTGCATGCAACGTCCCTCAAACCAAAAACAAAGATAATTGTAAAACTATTTGTAGCTCGAGTGTAGTACTTCATATTTGCATTCATTACTTTTAGTTCATCCTAAACAAATTTTTTCTCTTAGTACTTTCTGCTTGATGTAATTTAATTTTGTTGTAGTTAATATATATCATTTTTCCATTTTAATTCATTTGCTAATTCTTTTTGTCTAA